TCTCATTTACAAAAGTATTGCAGCGCTTCCCATTGCTGTGCTTCACACAATAGTTCATATTCTTCAGTATCGCTGCTGTCGCTCCAATCGTCAGAGTCAAAGTCACTGTCAAAATAAATGTTAGTAAGTTTTGACAAAGCTAATGAAACACGTTTACCGTTTGTATCGTATGCTTGTATAAACTTTCCATTATACTTGTAGTCATAAACGCTCAAACTAACTTTACCCTTTCTCCCTCGTATCTGATAGAATGTATTTTCACGAGGAACGAAGAACAAATTCTTGAACTCATGACCGTTGTAGTTTGTTATCTCACTAGTTTTCGTCATTTATATAAAAATAAAATAAAAATAATTTTAAAAATAAACTTAAAAATTAATGATATCACCACCCTCACACGTATGAAAACATAGCACAAAAATAAATTTAGGTGAAGTGGTGAGATCTCACCTCTTTTTTCACCTGTTTTTTCACCCTGTTGAATTCATTGCTTTATAACTCTCTTCCTTTCTCCAACTCTTCTAACTTCTTCTTAAGTTCAGCAATGTTGTCCTCATGAAGTTTAATCTTTCTCAAAATTCCTTCTTTATCTAATGGTTGCTTTATCTTTCTAAACTGAACTCTACCATCCTTCATAGTATGAATGTAAAAACCTTCTGGAATAGTTCCTGATTTAATGTATTCTACCAAAAACTTTTGTTTCATTGCTTCAGTGACTTTAGTCGTCATTTCAATCAAATAAAAATTTTAATATTAAATAAAAATAACGTTATTTTTCAGTAAGGAAACGCAGGAGTTTTACGATTTATTTGAGGAGTAGGTTCTGGTTTAAATGTTGGAGTCGGTTTAGGAGTTGACTTTTGAACAGGAGTTTGTACTTCCATAGGTTCAGGAGTCATTGAAGGTTTTGCTTGTGAAGGTGTTGGAGTTTGTTTAACTTCAGCTACTTCAGTATTATTTACAACATTTGCTTTATTTCTTTTCAACATCATAACTGCTCCTGCTGTAGCTAGCAAACCTAGTGGGAGACCATATCTTATATAAGGACTTGACCAAATGCTATTTTTGACAGGAGCTGGTGGAACACCTAACCTTGGTGAGACTGCTCTTTGCCATTGTGCAGCTCGTAAGAAATATTCAATAGGTGCTCCATAATCGTTTGGTAAAGTTTGTTTCATAGATGGTGAAGGTTCACAAGAGCTTGATGAAGAACTCATTTATAAGCTTTAAAAATAAACGTTCATCCTTTATTCCTCACTGTCGTCCGTAGCTAAGTTATAGTCATCTAATCTTATTATGGGGATGCCATTAGCACGCACCTGAATGGCAAAGCAACAATCCCTCATAAATCCAATAAGTGGCTTTGGTACATTTTCAGTTGCTAGTTCAATAGGTCCTTTAACAGACAATTTGTATGTTATTGGAGCAGTAGATGTTTGACCTTGCTGGAAGCAAAAGTCCACTTCTGTTGGAAAACCACATAAGAAATGTGTGTTGTCATAGCTATCCCATTTATGTTCCACACTACCATCATCCACCAATGACCTCATAACATCTTCATTAAATCCTATCATATCATTGTTTGTATTGCAAGCGTTCGCAACCATTTCATAAAATACAGGTCCATATGATTTTTCAGGTTCTGCAGGCATATTTCCATAAGCTCCCATGGAAAGCTGAAGATATTTAAACTTAGGGTTCTCAAAATTAACATAATAGTTGTCTTTCTTTCTAAATAGTGCCCAAATACTTTTAACATTAATAGGCGTATAAGCTGCTGTAAATGTTGCACTTGAACTATCTGTATTCTTTGAGAATGAACCGTCCATAGGAATCCAATCCATAACTTTAACAGGAAAACATAAAGCCTCGTTTGTATAATGTTCTACAAGTTCTGTATAAATGTTAGGGTCTAAAGAGAATGACTTTGGATGAATGAAACATTCATTAAAATCCATCTTTGTTCGAAATAGTTGCTGGGTTACAGTTGTAATAGTAACTGTTCCACTAGCTTCTACTGCCTTCGTTATCATAGTGAATGGTTCATTCCATGGAACAAATTTATTTGTCGGTGGATTTGAATCTGAAGCAAATGCAACTTTAAGAGTTGGATTGAAAGCAATGATATCATTTACAGATATAGATGTGCATTGTAAGGCGTCGCTACTGAACTTTACTTTAAGCTGAATGTTTCCTGCAAAAGCTGGAATAAATCGAATAGCTTCTAATGGAAGGAATCTTCTAACAGGAATTCTTAAACGAAGCTTAAAATCAAATGATTTTCCTGCTGTAATTGGACCACTAACAATTTGTCCTGTTCTGCATGTTCCCGAATGACTCCATACATCTTCATGTCGAGTCTTTGAGAAAACATCTACTTTCTTTATTTGTTCGGTAGTTTGTGAGTTTGAAGTTATATATGCTTCTTCTCTTGCGTTGTCTTGAGAATATACGATACGACCATTTGCAAGGATTTGATATCCAGCAACTGCATAGAAAGCGTCATCGAAACCAATCCAAAATCCTGGTGGGTTTGTTTTATTGGAACCTGAACCAATTTCTTTATCTACAATAAATTGACCTTCCATTTTATACGTAATGAATGTATTGTAAAGGTCCAACATATTTTCACCAGGAGGTGAGAGATTGAATGTTACCCATGTGTTATCTTTAGCAGTTCCAGGTTGTGATGGAATCTTTGCGTCAGAATATTTTCTATTAGTGTCACCAATTTGAACTGCATTGTCTATGATATCGAAATATGAGCGAATCTGATGAATATGCTCTGCTGGAGTAAATTCGTTTAACTGTTCGTTCTGCATGTATTTACTTCAGATAAAAATATCTATTTACTTCATTATTCTCACTCTTCTTCTTGGCATTCGTGGTGGAAGTTGTTTCTTGACATTTTCAATGAACTGTACATTCTCTTTTGTCTCAACTTCTTTCACTGGTGGGTCAGGGTTCTTTGACTCGGTTTGTTTTTCAATGAAATTCACGAACTTTGCAATAAGCTCTTGGTTCGTTATTGAAAGTACATCTGGCTTCTTTTCTTCTGGTTCTATTGACTTTTCAGTTTGAATAGAAGGCTTAACATGGGCTTCGTGGACTTCACCCTTGCCATGCACCTTAATGTTGTCGCTTTCTGCATTCGCTAATGGAACCTTTCTTTTTCTTACGTATATTTTACCATCTTTACTCTGACTTACGTAATAGAAAGGATGTTGTATTCCTCTTGCGTCATTTAATATAATAGACTCTCGCTCTGATTTTGACAAGCTCATTTTACATCGGTTAAAGTTTTAATTTTGTTTTTTATCTGCAGTCAAATGACTCAGACAAGCCCTACGGACAAGACCCAAGGGGTCATAGATGTTGAAGCATTGAAGAAAGAAATTCGTGAGCAAATTTTATCCGAACTGAAGGAACAAAAACAAGAACAAAAGCCAGAGAGACCAAAGAGAAAACTTAGTGAAAAACAACTTGCTGCATTAGCTGCTGGAAGACAAAAGAACCCAAGACTACTGGCAAAAAAAGCTAGAGAAGCTGAAGCAAAAGCTAAAGAAGCTGAAGCAAAGAAAGAGTAAATGGTTTATTTTTATCCGAATTAAATGTATAGACAAATACCTTTATCTGTTGCGTTCAGTAGTGAAAACCCTGACGTCAAAATAAAGGGGAACAGAGTAACGTTTAAGTTTCCAACAGACTGGATTGTGAACATAAATGAAGAGAAGTACATTGGCATAACATATGTATATAACACGTGCTTTCAGAAAGGTTGACTTTATACTTCAAGTCGAGATAGAAAATGACGAACAGTCTTTAAGCGCCCAAAACATTCACATATACAAATACTTTAAAGACGATACAACATTGTTGCAATGTATGATTTCATTTAATGAAATGTTCGAGAAAAAGTTTAACATTGAAGTACAAACTTTACAGCCTTTACGTGAGTTTCTTGCACAACTGAAAGAAGAAGGTAGTCAGCCACAACTTATAGACTTTCATTATGAATTTAATGAAAATGAAGATGGAACATGACTGTCAGTTTGTTATATATTCACCATTCAATGAAGTAGCTAAAAAGAAAGAAAATCCATTACGTATAAGATTTCAAATCTCTGAACCAAGTGATGATTTCAAGAATGTTTTCAATTATGATGCAATGCTTCCGAGGAAAAATGAATTTTCAAAGATTGTAACACCTGGCATTTGGGATAGAAAGCAAGCTATATTATATTCAAATAGTAAGGGTTGAAAATGAGTTCATTGGTCATACAAGAACTTCACCACTTCCTAACCCTAAATACTATAAATTAACTGGCTTCAATCGTGAGTTTTGGATAGACATGTTCTCCACTCATGACCATAGCTGCCCAGTGTTCTTACCTCCAGACCATAAGGACTGTCTCTACATTGAAGCACAACTCTTAAACTCTACCATCGCAGTATTGTAAATGACCACATGGGCTTCGCCCTTGCCGCTAGCGGCTTATTTTTATCATGAATGACCTCATTGCTGACAAAAATAAATGACCTCATTATTTTTCTCATTCATGACCTCAGAACTTAAGCTTTCTTATGAATGAAGTCTTAGTCTGAATAGAAAAGTTAAACTTCTCTTCAAAGCAAGGTTGAGACTTACATAAGTCAAATCCAATCTCTTGACCGTCATAAAGTGCTTTATAACTTTCATAAACTGAACTCAGAGTCTTTGTCAATTTCCTTGCGGAACCATTAAACCTTTATCTTCATCATAGAAACACTGAACAGAGTCAGGAAACATTTCATTAGCGGTTAAAGCAATAACATCTTGCTTCACGCCTTTCATTCTGCAGTGAAATGCAACTTCATTTAAATCATTCGTGAGTAAGTCTATGTAAGTCTTCTTTCCACAAAATATTGACTTGTATGCTAAACTTTGTTTTCTTTTGTGATTTCTGCAAAGTCGCTATGAAATTGACCAAGGTTTTTACCAATGAGAACTCTTCCATAACGTTTCTCAAACTCTTCAGCTAAACGAGGGATATCTTCATTGTAGAGATGCATACTGTCCGTATCGCTATAAAAGATGTCCATTCCTAAGTCCTCAGCAGTACAGAATACTTCACACATTATTCTCTTCGACATAGACAGAATGTTAACACCAAGTGGACAGAAGTTAAAGTGTCTGCAAATGCTTTTCGTTAGCTTGAAAATAGTTTTATCTGAACCATCCAAACCTTCGAACTTCACTATATGGTTGTAGTTTCTGATGGCATATCTTATAGCATCTTTGTCATTTACTATGGTTATTTTTGACTCAATAGGAGATAGAATAGTTTTGCCATAAATACTGTTCAGAATGAGCTTTATATTTTCTTGCAAAGGATTTCCTTCTTTCTTATACTTTAACCTTAACTCAAACAACTTCTTTACTTCATCTCTTATTCTAATATCTCTGTTTCCATCGTAATAGTATCCTTGCAACACTTCACATTTGACACCTTGATATTTTATGAGGTCTTGTAATGTTATATGGTCAACATACATTAAACAGCAAGTGTTTGAACTTCTGGGAACGTTAAGTTCTGGATTTAGTTCAGGGTCACAAACTATTAAAGGAAAGTGTCTATGTATTCCAATCTCTGTTATCTTAATGAGAACAAAGAAGCCAGACATAAACTTTTCACCAATGGGTTCCTTTTGGTCGTCATCGAATAAATGTCTCATGAGATACTCTGTGCTTAACATTTCTTTCTTCATAACCTTTGGAATACCTTCTAAAGTATAAAGTCTTGCTATAGCTGATGGATATAATGAAACAGCGTCGAAATCAGCAATGAGTTTCTTTTCGCTCTTTTGTTTAATGTTATCTGACAGCATACATCTTCCACCTTGAATACAGCGTGAAATAAATTCTCTTGGTTTATTTGAGAGGTCATATAAATTTCCATTCGGGAAGTACACTCTGTTCTCAAATAATTTGTTAGCAATTGAACAAATACTAACGTAGTCATAAACGTTTAAATCAAATTCTTTCAATATGTCATTGCGGAACTTAACAAAACCTTCTCTTAAAATTCTTACATCTTGTTTGCAATAAAATGTGCTATACTTTTCTAAGTCGAAGTGGTTCTCATCTATTCTGCAACCTTTGATGGAATCTATGTTTTTCATGAATGTATCTGCATCCCGGATAAACTTACATGCTTCAGAAATGACACCAGTTCTGTTGTCATTTGCTAACAAAACACTGCTGTAGTAGTTGTATGGAAATACTTCTTTCGGTCCTGTTTGTAAGTTAAACATAGCAGGAAATAGTTTAAGCTTCTTATTTATAACACTGTAAGAGTCTTTTATAATAATTGCCCTTCCTTTATATAAGCCAGTTATTTGCATTGTTCGTGAACCTTTAATGATGGGAGTTCCTTTCACTTCTGTCATGTGTCTTAAGATGAAGTTTATATCATAACTGAGGTTATGGAAATATATTAAACTCTTGTCAGGAAGTCGTTCCAAAAATTCTGTTGCACAGTTCTGACCCCAAATGCTTTCACTCACTGAACCATCTTCACTGTCATAACATATGTTAAAAGCTTTATGAAAGCCATCGGTACTGCACTCAAAGTCAGCAAAGAAAACGTGCTCAGGAATGAACTTGCACTTATTTTTATTTACTTCTTTTGACTCGGCTTTCTTCTTCAGTTGTACACAATACTTTGGAGCATATGTCAAATCTTTAAATGGTGCAAGGTTCTGTTTATATAAGTCAGTCGTATATGTGAAAAGTTCTCCATAAGAAATAGGTTCGAAATATTTGCACTCCCACAATGTTTTCATAACATCCCATAACGGTGTTGTTCTATCATAACGAACTACATATTTATTCTCTCTCTTTGTATAAATCTTCATTGTTTCTCAATGTTCATTCCACCACACTTTCAGATTTCTTTGTAATTTCTGATGAAATATGTTGTCATTGGTAATCTTTCATTTAGCATGTAGTGGTCTTCAACAAGAAGTAAGTCAATAGTTCGAACAGTTTCACATTCTTTTGGTATGTATCTCTTTATTTCATTATGTCTTGAGTCATTGAAAAACCAATGGTAACATTAAATGCTATACCTGTTGCGTCAGAAATTTCTTGTACTTTACTTTGAGGAAAGTCTCTAACACGAATGACTTCTCTCATGTGGTCAATAGTTTCTTCATTTACTCCAGCCTGAATGCAAGCATAAACGAAACAATTGTCTTCTGTCATAAGTGTTGCAGTTCTTTTGTTCAGTTCATTGAAGATTTGGTAGCGTTCAAGATTTATAGGTAATGTGCAAAGATACTTCCAGAACTGACCGCTTCTCTTCTTATAAAACTTCTTTTCACCATTATCTTTCCAAAAGCTTTCTATAAGTGCTGGGTTTCCTGTTTGCTTAAGAGCTTCCAAAATGGCTTTCTGGTCATTTGTCAGTGTGCTTTCATCTCTATATGGTCTCTTTTTTGGTTTGCCTTTCTTTACATCTGACATCGTTAAGCCTTCATATTCTGTTAAATCATACATCTTTATTTCAGTAAGATTCTTTATGTTTGTCAAGAAGAAGTCATAGTGCATTTCAACAATACCTGCAGCATTTGCTTCTATCTCTGATATAAAGTTCTCCTTCAAGAGCTGATGTAGTAATGTTCCAATATTATTGAGGTTTAACGTAGAACATTCATACTTTCCACCAAGTTTATAACATACCATCCATCTTTGTTGGAGTTTATTTTAATTTCTCTAAGAGTCTCATGAAAACCTTACCGAAATGTTTGTGTAAGTAGTCTCTGTTTGGTTCATCTAAAGCTTCGATGTTAAAGTCAATGAGTCTATTGCCTGACTTCACATTTCTCTTCCTATTCTCTTCATCTTTCTTTAACCATCTCTCACCTTCTTTTGGTTTGTCGTCAATGGAACGAATGACATCGTTAGCTTTGCGAACTTGTTCTATAGCACTTTTAAACATCTCTCTTCTCTGTTGTTTCAGTGTGTCGTCTCTTCTTCTTGTTTCACCAACGTTTGCATTTGTTATGTCAAACATTTCTCTTCTTACTTCATGAGGTACTGAACGTCTATGATATAAGTCAATAGCAACGTCATTTAAAGGAAATGCTCTTGCATGGACTTCGTCCTCGCCGCGTTGCGGCTTTATGAACTCATGAATTCTATCATAACTTATTGCACCATTATAGTCATTGAGGATGTCAGCGAGTGCTTTTTTGTTTGTTGCGTAATGCTTTGCAACATCTATGTTAGCTTCTGTAAGAAGTTGTTTTATTTCCGAGTGTTCTAACTTAGACAACTTCCGATACATCTTTAGTAGGAAATAAAAAATATTTTTTGAAAAAATTAGATTAGATTTTTTAAGTTATTTTTCAAAATAATTTAATATTTTTATTTTAATGAAACACATGCAAGATTGCAAGTTCTTTTCATACAATGCTCTCGCTACTGCCATCAAGAATGAGTTCAATAATGCTTCAAATGTTAATGTTATCTTTAACAAGAAGTTTGTGAAAGAATCTAAGTTTGGTCAGTATGTCAGACCATTAGCTATCGTCATTGACCGCAAACGTTATACTTCACAAGAGTTAGCAGTAGTTTTGAAACAAAAGAGTTTCTTCGTGAATGTCAAAGATACTCATATACTGTCATAAAGAACTCTAACATTGACTTCTTCAGTATTGCTTTAAATCTTTCCGAACAGAAAGAATATAAGAAGGGTGAAACATCTGTGAAATATTCCTTCATCTCTGAAGACAATAACGAACAAAGATGTTATACAGAAATTCTTACCAAAGGTTGAAGAAGCTTCTATTGACATTGACGAAGGAAGTGAAATGGTTGAAGAAATAGACCCTGAAGCTATTTAAGCAAAAATATATTTTTGAATAACTGATGGTGTCACCACGTCACCATGTCACCAGGTTAATTAACTTCTTTTAAAAATGATGACAACATGACATTTTGACAACACAGCAGGATTAATGCAAAAATGAATGTTATCGTTTATGTTATCGTTTATGTTATCGTTAATGTTATCAGTGTCGAACATAATTGACATGGAGCATTTATGTTATCGTTTATGTTATCGTTAATGTTATCGTTTATGTTATCGTTAATGTTATCAGTGTCGAACATAATTGACGTAGGATTCATGACTTCTTCGTAAATGAGTGTAAATATAGCACAAAAATATATTTTAGGTGAAGAGGTGAGATCTCACCCGTTTTTTCACCTCTTTTTTCACCTCATTCTCTCTTCGTTATGTTGTCGTGACTTCATCGTTGTCGTGACTTCATGTTGTCGTGACTTCATGTAATGTTGTCGTGACTTCATCATTAATGTTGTCGTGACTTCATTCTTCCTCTTTGAAGTTATCGAAATATTCTGTTATTTTTTCCTTCAGTAATGTTAAGTCTTCTTTGAATGTAAGTATTGTGCAACCTTTGATGTCATAGTGTGTTTGAGGAAGAGTATTTTTGACAATTTCCTTTATTTGCTCATTCGGTGTCATTGAAATCGGTAAGTTTTCACGATAGAACCAGTTTCTGTCAGATTTATATATCTTAGCTAAGTCATAAAAGCTCTTGTTGTTTCTTCTGACTAAATGTAACATAACCATATCTTTATCTTCTTCTTTCTCCAACTCTTCAGTATATATCATATACTTATAACTCTTTTCCTTTCCTTTTGGTACCGAACGTGGTATTCTTTTCTGTATGCTTTTGTCTTTGGATTCAATGACTTCATCTTTTGCTTTTTATATAGTTCATCTAACATCATGAAAATATAACAAGCATAACGAGGTGAAGCCCACATTGCTACAGCGTTTACTAAAAGTCTATGAACATAATAACCTTTCAAACAAGGAGCCAAATTCTTGCGATTTTCATACGGAATCTCTTCATTCTGCAAAGCAATTATATGAGGAAATTCTTCTAAAAGTTCTTTTGTCTGTTGGTTTTCAAACCAATGATATGCTTGCTTTGTAGAACGAAGAGCATTCATTATACTTTGCATTTGGTACATATCGTCTTTGACTGAACGAATGAGACGTAACTGTTTGTTATACTGTATGTACTCGTATTCTTCATTTATGGCTTCATGAACGATAGCAGTTGTTGTGTTCTCTGATGTTGACATTACTGTCTTTACATACAAGATAAAAATTTTTGTTAGGAAAAAATTAGCGTTATTTTCTGACTTTCACAAAAGACAAAAATAAACGCTTTACATGTATTTTTCAGCAACTTCGTCAAATAATTTTATAGCTTTATCTATCTCATCTACTTCAAACGTTTCTTTACCTTTTATGGGAGCACCATACATTTTCTCAAACTTTTCGAGTAGTTCTGTTTCTGCGGCTCTCATATCATTAACGAACACAACCTTGACTCTATTGACTGTACTGTCATATCTTTGAGTTATATTATATGTTCTTCCTATCTTATATCTCTTTGTATTGAAGTCCTTCGGTTTCTGAACGATGTAAAGTAAGCCTTCACTGCAACGTTCTGAGTCGAATGAACCATAAGTTATGAAGTTATATCCAACAACAGGGTCAATCCACAGAAGAATTATTGGTATAAGACTTTTGTCAATGAGATATGCTGTAGTTCCATAGAATCTTACCGATATCATGAGCTCAGGATTTCTTGTCAAAATTTTCTGAGTAGAAGCAATTCTAACCCAGTCCTTTGTTTTCTTTCCAGAAGGTGTTATAATGTCTGACAAAGAATATTTGTTGTATTTCTTACAGTATCTTACGTTTAAATCACCAATTCTAACCACTTTGGTGTCATTGTCAATCTTTCTTACTGTTTCAAACTCAATGTTTGACATTACTGTCTTTACATACAAGATAAAAAAATAAATAAAAATAAAACTAACTTTATTTTTATCTTTTATGAAAATTCATGAAATTTGGTCATTTTTCAGCAAAAATAATGTTTAGGTGAAGAGGTGAGATCTCACCCGTTTTTCACCTTTTTTCACCTGTTTTTTCACAAGCGTTTTACATGAATTGTACGATGTATATTTGAAATCCTAAACAATTTCGTAGCTTCTATTTCTTCTTTTAGTACATCGAATGTTTTAATCATGCCGAAAGTCTCTTTATATTTCTTCTTGACGTCAGACAGAAGGAAATCTTCTGCTGTTGGATAGTTTTTATTAAGAAATGTCAACATATCCATTTTATCTTCTGCTGGCTTTTCTGCTTCTTTCTTTAAGTCTGCATAGTCGTTTCGCATTCTTTCTATCTCTTTGACTGAGTAGTTATATTTTCTTATTGCTGCTTTACATTTTGAACATTGCGGCATTTTTGCGTTATACATTGAAATAAAACCAGCTAGAACAACTAAGGCGTCAATGGTTTTCTTTAACTCAAAAGCTGCTGGTTTTATCTGTTCATTCCATACTTACCTCTTCTATCTTTATCTCTTATCTGCCATACACATTTTGCAACTAATGAAACAAAGTTATCGTATGTCTTAAATTCTTCGGATTTGTAAAGGTCAGAAATATTTTTATAAACCATGTCGCAATCTTTGTCCATAACTTTATGGTTGCAATGATATCCTAGAAACTCATAGTTTACCTTTCGTATGAACTTCTTTATTTCTACTGAGTCAGTTGCTTTGACTTCAATTTCGTCAAATTCGGGAATGGTTAGTTTTTGTTGCTGAATTTCAGGTAGTTTAGGTAAATGGTCGATGAGGTCCTGCATGTCATAAAGATATTCTTCATTTTCTTCATCCTGTGCGGTACAGTCTAAATTACTTGTTAACAGTTCTTGCTTTATCTTCTGGATTTTTGTTTCGAAAGTATATGAAGAAGGAATGAAGTTTTTCATTCTACTAACATTGACGTAGGATTCATGACTAGCGAGTTTGGTGCTGTTGTGGACAGTGTTCGCGGCTTGAATTGTTGTTGTGCCGATTGTTGAAATCATATCTTTACATACAAAATAAAAAAATAAATAAAAATAAAACTAACTTTATTTTTTCTATCTTAAGGAAATTCATGAAAATTCATGAGGGTGAAAAAAGAGGTGAAAAAACGGGTGAGATCTCACCTCTTCACCTAAAATATATTTTTGGTGTAAATTTATGACAAAAATAAATGGTACCATTAATGATATCATGACTGTTCTCATTCATGTCTGATTTACATCTAATGAAAAAGTTTAGAAGAATTTTCTTATTCTTTCTGGCTTATTTTTGTCTTTCCAGTACTCCCGCTCTAATGGTCCCAGATGTGTTGACTTTGACTCTCTCAAGTTCTTAGATGGTATAACATCTTCAACGCCTCCTTCATATCTTACTTTATAAGTGTCATCGTTTATGTTATAGCCAAGTATTTCAATAACCACTCCTCGCTTTGCTTCGTCAATGGTTTCAGCAAGTTTGCCATTACTACTTTCAACTAATTTATGTCGAGGGTAAAACGCAATAGAGTCGTCAGCAGCTTTTATAAGATATCCATTACCTTGCGTAGAGTCTACGATATAATAGTTTCTACTTAACCTTAAACGTTTCTTTGTCAACGGTTTGTCGTCAAGAACTACACGAACTTTTGTACCAGGAATGAGGGTAAATTGTGTTGAATTTCTGATATTTTGTGTTTGGCTTCGTTTCTTTTGTATATACTTTTCTTCTTGTTGTTGTGTCATTGAATTTGGTGTATGTCCTGTTGTAGAATGTGTTGAGGAATTATATACTTCGAGAAAATGTTTCATTGTTTCTTCGGTAAAGTCTCGCTCTTGATTTAAATCTCTGAGCGTTCTTATGAAGCGGTTTATGATGCCGAGTATGTTATGGTTATGGTCTTCAGTAGTGTAGTGAGTTATGTTATGCTTAATGAGAAAATCTGTGATTTCATTGCTGAGGTATGCACTGTCTTGGTCTGATGTTAAAGTACTTGGGCTATGTTCTGCTACAAACTTTTGTAAAACTCTTAACACTTCACGAGTTCCTTTATTTTTCATTGGATATGCATATGCTTTACGAGTGTTAACATTAATGAAGATGAGGAATGGTTTATGTCCTCCTTTTCTGCTTTGAATGAGAGTGTCAAATTGGTATGCGTCAGGAGTGTTGGAGTAAATTGGTAAAAAGTAGTCGTAAGGGTTTATTTTTGTTTGATGTACAACATTTTTGTCAAAGAACCTTTTCACTTCAGCTCTGTTAGTAAATCCCCAACTCTTTGCAGCTTCATTGAACTTCTTAAATGACCTCCATGGATGTTGTTCGAATACTTCTTTCAAGCTCATTTATGTAAAGTTAAAGATTTTATTCAAGGCTCAAGCGCGTTCAATGAACTCTATACCATGCGAATACAGTCATAAATGGTGGCATATAATCTGCACCCGAGCCTGTTGGATTTGTTGTGAAAGTGTGTGAATGATTTCCTGTGGTTCCACAGAAAATACCTGCGCTTGAATCTACTGGGTCACTTGAAATATCATATCTATTCATTCCCTGTCTATCCGAACTGCTGCAAGATTTGTATAACCTCTTTTTGTTATTGAATGTGAATGACTACCTGTTGTGTTTGTAGTTCCTGTATGAGTGTGCGGTGGAAGGTTTGCTTCTTTAATTTTCTTCGAACCTCCTGCCGTCTTTGAATATCTAGCACAGTATAAGAATTTGTCTACAATCTGCTGCCACGTACCAAAACCCAGAACTGTTGCTGGATTTGTTGAGTTCATTGACGTATAAATAGAACCGATAGGATATAATGTTTGAAGTATTTCAGTCTTTAATGTTTGAAGCTCTGTTTTGTCTGCTTTCTTATCATATAAATCTTGAGCAGTGAATTTAACATTATTTTCACTGCTCATGACATAAACATTTTTACAGCTAATTTTTTTATTCGTTGTTATGTTTTCATTCGATGTTAAACCTTGTGGAAAGTTAGGAGGTTTACAATATAATGCATCCCCATCAGTTCCGCCAACCGTTCCTTCAATACTTTCTATAGCAACAGTTGAGAAGAAGTTATGTGTATGTTCTTTGTCTGCTTTCTTATCTAACATTGCTGGTAGTTCATGTGTTTCAAAGTTTCTGGCATGATCTTCAATGTTCATACATCTGTTATCTAAATTGTTTAGTGTATCTTTTACGCTTGTACTTGGATTCTCTAAAGGTGCACTTGAACCAAGGGTATAGTTCAATATTACATCGTCTGCTCTAACAGTAGTGAAGGATTCGTTTGTATGGTTCTTGTCAGTTTTACTGTCTAATGTAGCTTGAAGTTCATTTATATCGGAGATGTAGTGTTTATGAGATTTCAAAACTTTGTTCATTGCTTCGAGTTCAACTTTGTCAGCTTTACTTTTAATAGCATCTTCAAACGTTATTTTTGACTTAACTCTCAAAGTAAATCTTGGTTCAACTAATACACCGTTAACATTGAAAGTAGAGGCAAAATTTCACCGGTATAACCAAATGCTTCTGGTGCTTTAGCTACATCATACTGTACATACAGCTTATGTCATAACCTTTAGCACAATGTATTTATATATCTTCTTTCATTAACATTTTTTGTCTTCGCTTCATCACTTCGTGTTAAATATCCATGGTAGTCCGTTATAATCTGTTCGTCTGAAGTTATATAATGAACATGGTTCTTGACTTTATCACTCAGAGCTAAAAGCTCATTTTATCTGCTTTTTCGGCTAATTTCTCATTAACATCATTCACTTCTAATTCAACTCTTCCGCCAGAACTCTTATTATCATTAATCTTTTTCATTAATTCTGTAATTACGTCATAAAGACTATATTCTGTTTCGGTTTGTAAATAATGAGTCAAAATTTCTTTTCATCATTACATCGCTGACATTAATGATATCACCAATTCCTTTTTCATTTATTCTCTTCATTAATTCTGCAATAATGACGAATATATAATCTGTTAATTTATTCTCTTCATCGAGGGTTATAGAATGTTTTGAAATTGAATCATTAACTCCTCTAAATAAATCAATTAACTTCAGGATACACGTTTTAATGTCTCGAATAACCCGACCAGTATCCTGTTGTTCATGTTCTTCGTTCCCGTCGTTACGTGGTTTTTATATCTCTAACCATCATCAACGCAGCCATAACCGGAGGGTTTGTTGCTATCTGTTCGAAAATCCGTCCTTATGTACGGTATATCTAAAATAATTTCTTTGTGTTTGTTAAAACATTTGAAACAAGTCTTTTAAAACCATCTACAAAATTTCCTGTTTCACCTAATGTTCTTGCAGCATTTACAAGCTCACTCATTCCGCTTTTGACCCCAAAAACGTCCAATTGCATTTATTTCACTTTGTATAGTTGTCCATTCAGCGAAACTAACACCCGCATTCGCTAAGCTGAAAATGAAATTCAGTGGATCGAACTTAATTCCACCTTCTTTTTCAATTTCAACGAACTCACTAACATGAGATTTTAAGTATTCTTTCGTTAAAATTGTTTCCCGATGTTATGTCATTAACGAAACTATCACCGTCAAAAGTTAACGAATTCAATTTCGTCGTTGATGCTTTTATTTCATACACCGCTTTATCGATAGTTTTTGGCTCACCTTCTTTAGAAGCATATGAAACATTAATGAATGAATTATATGTATTCGTGAATGAATTAAAATCAATGATTTCATTAATGACGCCTTTAATGATTCATTTACTGTCGAATCCCTTAAAGCAATTAATGAACTGTCATTTATGAAAGGTACACTGCAAACCGTCGAGTTTGGATCAAATGCTGTAGTTGGTGCAGGAATATTAATGATATAAGTCATTAAATCATTAAGTGACGTAAATAATGTTGTCGTTTTTGATTTAATTTCTTTAGCATCTGTTATATATGGTAATTTTATTTCTGTAGTTTCTGAATTAAAGATATTCGCTAAAATGTTTTGTAAACTGTTTTGAACAGCTGTGTAAACCGTTGAATCCGGAACTCTTACGATTTCACCGTCCTTAATAAAGGGCATTGCACATGTGTAGTGCTTGGGTCAAATCTTTTTGGGTTATGATTCAACATATATTCTAATGCTTCATAAACAGACCTATATACTGTTGTATTATCTTTTTCAATAATTTCACCGTCCTTTATAAACGGCATAGTACATGGAGTTAAAATAGGGTCAACTTTTCATAGTCCTTCCATTTATGTATTTCTCAGTATTTCCATCAGTGATAACAATATATTGTCAGTAAGTGTGAGAGAGTATTGACCAAATATAAACGTTTAGCTCTGTCAGCTTCATACGCATATGCAGCTATACTCATATTTTAATGAGAATAAAATGTTGTTCTATTTGCAAAGTACAGACCCAAACGAATACGGGACAGTAAAGCTACAAACAAACTTAGGTCTACAGAATGAAGCGCTTGCATTCAGAATGGTTGACTTCAATACTATCGCTTCATTCGTATAACAGATGAAACAGATTTCATGGAGATTGAAATAGATGGAAAGAAGCACGAAATAAGATTTCACAATAATGTAGAATATAAGATGGAAACATTAGCTGGAGTGTTAAATGCTCTCATAAATACTACAATAAACAAGGATAACGAAGAAAACTTAATGAATGTTAAACTTATTGCAGGAGTTTTGAAGTTCAGTTATGCGAAGGAGTTTAAGATAACACGAATGAGTCATAGAGTACAACTTCTTTTGGGTGCATACCATATGACATTTCCTTTGAAAAGTGTTGACAAAACGATTGAGATGAAATCTGTTCCATATGTATGTTATGGTAATTGTTTATACATTGAGTCTAAAATAGCTAATGTCACAGGCATTTCAGGAGTTAATAGTAAAGGTTCAGTAGAATATAAGTTCTTTCTGTTATGCAGTCAATTCAATGTTCATTCCAAACGTTCCTGTCATAGCAACTCATTTAGGTAAATGGGTTCGCATTAGTCCTCATAATTTGAAAGACATGCAATTCAGACTTGTTGACTTTCAAGGAGAGCCTGTAGAACTGAAGGCACCAGTGCGAATGACTGTTGAAGTTGACTTTTTAGAAAATATTAAATGCAACAGCTTACAAGAGAACTCAGAGCTAAAAATATAAAGTATGAATGTTATGTATTAGGTCATGAACTTTGGTTGTTGCTGTTTGATGAAACAAATGAGTTAGTTATGTCAGTCAAGAGAACAGAAAAATATTGTGTTAGTGAAAACTGCACCAAGTCAATAAGATTAGGTTTGCATTATGAAGATGAGTTCGATACTGTTGAAGAAGTTTTGGATAGATATTACAAATTGCTAACTTGAAATTTTTTTTGACTGACGGCGCAAAGCGCCAAGATGGGCTCAAAGAGCCCTCCTGACTGCTTTAATTTACTAAAACATATTTCAAACAAAGTTTATATTCTGTTGAAAGTTTTGTATATTCATTCGAATATTTATACTTAAACTCAACTCCTGTAGTTCCTGGTGTTTCAATGATGCGGATTTACCTATTTTCATGAATAGTGGAGTTTGACCACAGCATTCGATTTCAGGGTCGAGATAGTCAATGACACATTGTTTCCCTGTTATTCGTGATATAACATTTTCAAGGTCCTCCTTTGTTAGAATTATTTGGTTCTTGCTTATAAGATTTGTCAAAAGCTTCTTATCGTCTTTGAGTAAAATTGTTTGGTATAACTGAAAAGGTAATGGTCTACGTTATCTGAAGGATTTGTTTGAACATTTGTGTAAGGATTGTCGTTGGCTTCTCTTGAAAGAACTTGGTCCAGTGGTGGATACTCTAACTTAACATCTGATGTAGCGTTAGCGTTTGAAGCTGTGTTTAAATTCACGGATTTCAGCTCTGGTTCTGGTTCTTTCAAACACTCTGAACTATAGTTCTTTATGACAATATTGTTTGTCGTTCGTGAGTCAACATTTGATGTTGGTTCAATTGGAACATTAACGGCACCAGCTAAGATGGATTTGCTTCTCATTTCATATAGAATAAAAACCTTTTATATGTATGAAATGAACAATATACTCGACAAGGGTTTGAATGTAAAGCTAACGAATGAAAATATTGTTGAATTCACTGAGACAGGTGCTGTGTATAAAGATGTAGAACTACTGAACAAAAGAGCTAAGGGAAGAAGCAGGAACATGAACAAAGGTGGAAGCCTATAAAAATTTATGTCAATGATGGCTCAGGAGGTTCAAACATAAAGTATGCAGAAAGTTATAGAGTTTATGCTCTCAAAGGTGAAAAGCCTTCATTTAAGAACAGCTATTCTAACGCATATCCTCAAAAGCTAACGGATGGGGAAGTGGATGATATGAATGACAGCAAAAATATTAACAGAAATGGCGACAGAGATGCATGGAATTTGTTTACCATCAGTCAATTGAAGGTTAAACTTTAAAACAATGTGGTCGTTCCCATGGAATATTTTTGACTTTAATGGTATTAGTCATGATATGAATCTCAAGGTATGAACGAGGAGAGATGAGAGACTTATATGCTTCCCAAATTTCTTCAAAAGGTAATGTTATACCTGACTGTTTCCAAATGAGTTCAATATCATAGCGTGAGAAACCTTGAAAGATAACGAAGTCAGTTATGAGACGTTTTATGTTTAAAGCTAAAAACCTCCATGTTTGCATAAGTATTGCTACAGTTAAGTGGTAATGTCTGACTTTAGTAATGATGTTAGCTAATGGTGAGTCTGGTTTTGACACTAAACCTTTTCCGGCGAAGTCGTCACAAACGAGCAGAGTGTTTGATGGATATTTTTTGAAGGGGTATTTTGAAAGTTTTGACAGAATGTAGTTTGTAAGTCGTTTCATATCGTAAACTCCTGAGTACTGACGTAAGTGGTGTTTGTCAATAATTCTTTCCATCTCTTCTGAAGTCTTTTGCATTCCGGACTGTATAAATTCAACGATGGCATAATATTTCCTCTTACGTCGAATGTAACGTTGAAGAAATTCAATGAGTTCACTGTCTGGAACTTTAACGACAGAGGCTTGAACTTTTGACATAAATGTCTTCGCTGTTGAATCCATTGAATCTGAAGTTGCTGATATAATGATTTGGTCATAGTAAGAGTCGTTTCCTAAACGTTCTGTTATAAGAATATGACGAATGAGGTTAAATGTCTTACCTGAACCCATCTTTCCACAATAGAAATAAACACCATTTGAACAGAACTCATAGTCCTTACTGAAAGGAAGAATGAGAGAAGAGTTAAGTTTGTCTGTAGTTTCATTCATGTCTTCATCTACGTCATGTATTAAATGCTTCATTTTATCTCCATTAAAAATGCAAGTCAGAAATATTCAGAACATAGCACCGAGTCTAACTGACAAGAGTATAAAGATATACTATGAACATGTTATGATGAAACCAACCAAAATTCAAGAAAGTCAGTATACTTATGAATATCCAAGACACTGGGTAGAGTATGTAGGAGGTGAGAAAGCTATTGAAATCAGACAGGTTCGAAGTATTCCAGCAGGAAGAACAATATTATTGAAGAACTTTAATGTTTGAGATATAATGATGAAACAAAGAAGCAGATAGTTTTCCTGTTGCTGTGTATGTGAACCTAGACACAGGAGATGACATGAAAGTTTTTAATACAAAGCTTCAAACGGTAGTGAGAGAACAACTGACTGCGGAAGGGCATCCATTACCTTCAGAAGTTACCATAGCATATAATTCTGAAACAAACTCAATAGATTTTAAAGTCATCTCTGCAAAGAAGTCAGGATTTACATTTAATGAAGCAGATGTATATTCGAATGAAAACTTCAAAGCTATTGCATGGTTAGATAATGATGATTGCTTTAAGAAAATCTTTAAATTCAGTGACTCAACGATGTCAATAGATGACCTTCGTGGAATGTTACCATCGACGTTTACAGTTGAAGGTTCAGCAGGATTGCTTACAAGATTGTCAATTGGAGGCATTTGGTCTCGTGAGAACATTATTATAAAATCCAGTATAAGTGAATTTGCTGAAGAATCTATATTATGTCTTTCAAACTACATGTATTCGCCGCCGAAGCATTATAGTATAACAAACTTTGTCAGTAAGTTTAACATAAGACTTGTCGAACCTTCTTCAATGAAAGATGTTGTGCTACCTAAAGATGGAAAGGATGGACTCATTATTGAAATGATTTTAATAGCATATTAAATGAGCTTGTTCTTGAAGGTCATTCATGATGAATAACTGTTGTAGAAGATGTTAGCAATTGTTCAGACATTTTGAAGCGTATAGATGATATAAGAAAGAAGTTAGATAGACGCAAAGCGGTGAGGGCGAAGCCCGTGAGAACGCTTATGTTTCATTGACTTTCTCCAGTAACGAGAACTTTTATGAGATAATATTGAAGAGAGATGATTTTAATATTGGTGTAAAATGGTAGCTTGGGCCGCTTTAGGCGCAATGGGAACAAAAGCATTAGCATTTGGAGCAAAAGCACTTGGAGCTTATGACGCAGTAAATAAAATGAGTGGAGGAAGGGTTTCAAAGACATTAGATGCAAATAAAGGGAAGATTGGAGGCTGGGTTGCAAAGAAGTTAAGATTAATAAAATAGGGCTCATAATAAAGCATCCAATTTGGTTGCGACTGAGTCAGAAAATGCTTTAGGAAAGGACGATGAGTTTGCAAAACACGCAAAAGACTTTAATGACCAGATGAAAGGTGAAACAATGCATTTAAATAGAGTCGATGGAACTAAAGAAAATGTTTCTTCTCCACCAGTAGTTCTTCTGTATGGTCCCTATGGAATGTATGGAAACCCTTACGAAAGACCATTTGACCCATTGACCCATTGACTGGTGGAAGTAACTGGTATCATTACGGACGAAGAAGAAAGACAGTCAAGTTGGAGACAGACGTGAAGAAAACAACTAAAAAGAAACCAAGGAAGAGAGTTATAAAGCAATGAATTCAACAGGGTGAAAAAACAGGTGAAAAAAGAGGTGAGATCTCACCACTTCACCTAAATTTATTTTTGTGCTATGTTTTCATACGTGTGAGGGTGGTGATATCATTAATTTTTATTTTATTTTTTAAAATTATTTTTTATTTTATTTTTATATAAATGACAGAACAAAAGCAACTCATTCGAATTCCACAGTATAACAAACATACATTTAAACATTTATTCTTCCTTCCTGAGCATAACATGTTCTTTCAAATACATCCGAGACCAGTTGACTTTTCATTGACTGTGTATAAAGATAGAAATAGTTATATCATTAAACCATACGATGACGAAGGTAAGTTATGTAAATTGTACGTTAAGAAGTTAGAGAAAGTTTATGGCTTCAAGTATGACTACAATAGGGTTAACACTGATGATGAAGATATTGAGGAAAATTTATGAGAACATTAGTGAAGTCGTTAGTGAGAACGATAGTGAGAACGTTTATTTTTTACATTAGTGAGTTCATTAGTGAAGTGAAGTGAGTGGCGGTTTTGTAAATATTTAAGGTTAAGTTAGTGTTGTCGTTTGTGTTGCAAAATATACGTTAACGGTTTCGTAAAGTGTCAAATTCACATATAATGGGTAAGGAGGCGCGCAGTGCCTCAGTACCCTTGATATGTTTACTAACTAAGATTCTATGGAACTACAGCATATCTTATTGACAAAAGTCTTATACCAATAATTCTTCTGTGGATTGACCCTGTTGTTGGATATAACTTCATAACTTATGGTTCATTCGACTCAGAACGTTGCAGTGAAGGCTTACTTTACATCGTTCAGAAACCGAAGGACTTCAATACAAAGAGATATAAGATAGGAAGAACATATAATATAACTCAAAGATATGACAGTACAGTCAATAGAGTCAAGGTTGTGTTCGTTAATGATATGAGAGCCGCAGAAACAGAACTACTCGAAAAGTTTGAGAAAATGTATGGTGCTCCCATAAAAGGTAAAGAAACGTTTGAAGTAGATGAGATAGATAAAGCTATAAAATTATTTGACGAAGTTGCTGAAAAATACATGTAAAGCGTTTATTTTTGTCTTTTGTGAAAGTCAGAAAATAACGCTAATTTTTTCCTAACAAAAATTTTTATCTTGTATGTAAAGACAGTAATGTCAACATCAGAGAACACAACAACTGCTATCGTTCATGAAGCCATAAATGAAGAATACGAGTACATACAGTATAACAAACAGTTACGTCTCATTCGTTCAGTCAAAGACGATATGTACCAAATGCAAAGTATAATGAATGCTCTTCGTTCTACAAAGCAAGCATATCATTGGTTTGAAAACCAACAGACAAAAGAACTTTTAGAAGAATTTCCTCATATAATTGCTTTGCAGAATGAAGAGATTCCGTATGAAAATCGCAAGAATTTGGCTCCTTGTTTGAAAGGTTATTATGTTCATAGACTTTTAGTAAACGCTGTAGCAATGTGGGCTTCACCTCGTTATGCTTGTTATATTTTCATGATGTTAGATGAACTATATAAAGCAAAAGATGAAGTCATTGAATCCAAAGACAAAAGCATACAGAAAAGAATACCACGTTCGGTACCAAAAGGAAAGGAAAAGAGTTATAAGTATATGATATATACTGAAGAGTTGGAGAAAGAAGAAGATAAAGATATGGTTATGTTACATTTAGTCAGAAGAAACAACAAGAGCTTTTATGACTTAGCTAAGATATATAAATCTGACAGAAACTGGTTCTATCGTGAAAACTTACCGATTTCAATGACACCGAATGAGCAAATAAAGGAAATTGTCAAAAATACTCTTCCTCAAACACACTATGACATCAAAGGTTGCACAATACTTACATTCAAAGAAGACTTAACATTACTGAAGGAAAAAATAACAGAATATTTCGATAACTTCAAAGAGGAAGAATGAAGTCACGACAACATTAACGATGAAGTCACGACAACATTAACGATGAAGTCACGACAACATTAACGATGAAGTCACGACAACATTAACGAAGAGAGAATGATGTGAAAAAAGAGGTGAAAAAACGGGTGAGATCTCACCTCTTCACCTAAAATATATTTTTGTGCTATATTTACACTCATTTACGAAGAAGTCATGAATCCTACGTCAATTATGTTCGACACTGATAACATTAACGATAACATAAACGATAACATTAACGATAACATAAACGATAACATAAATGCTCCATGTCAATTATGTTCGACACTGATAACATTAACGATAACATTAACGATAACATTAACGATAACATTAACGATAACATAAATGCTCCATGTCAATTATGTTCGACACTGATAACATTAACGATAACATAAACGATAACATTAACGATAACATAAATGCTCCATGTCAATTATGTTCGACACTGATAACATTAACGATAACATTAACGATAACATTAACGATAACATTCATTTTTGCATTAATCCTGCTGTGTTGTCAAAATGTCATGTTGTCATCATTTTTAAAAGAAGTTAATTAACCTGGTGACATGGTGACGTGGTGACACCATCAGTTATTCAAAAATATATTTTTGCTTAAATAGCTTCAGGGTCTATTTCTTCAACCATTTCACTTCCTTCGTCAATGTCAATAGAAGCTTCTTCAACCTTTGGTAAGAATTTCTGTATAACATCTTTGTTCGTTATTGTCTTCAGAGATGAAGGATAATATTTCACAGATGTTTCACCCTTCTTATATTCTTTCTGTTCGGAAAGATTTAAAGCAATACTGAAGAAGTCAATGTTAGAGTTCTTTATGACAGTATAATGAGTATCTTTGACATTCACGAAGAAACTCTTTTGTTTCAAAACTACTGCTAACTCTTGTGAAGTATAACGTTTGCGGTCAATGACGATAGCTAATGGTCTGACATACTGACCAAACTTAGATTCTTTCACAAACTTCTTGTTAAAGATAACATTAACATTTGAAGCATTATTGAACTCATTCTTGATGGCAGTAGCGAGAGCATTGTATGAAAAGAACTTGCAATCTTGCATGTGTTTCATTAAAATAAAAATATTAAATTATTTTGAAAAATAACTTAAAAAAATCTAATCTAATTTTTTCAAAAAATATTTTTTTATTTCCTACTAAAGATGTATCGGAAGTTGTCTAAGTTAGAACACTCGGAAATAAAACAACTTCTTACAGAAGCTAACATAGAAGTAGCAAAACATTACGCAACAAACAAAAAAGCACTCGCTGACATCCTCAATGACTATAATGGTGCAATAAGTTATGATAGAATTCATGAGTTCATAAAGCCGCAACGCGGCGAGGACGAAGTCCATGCAAGAGCATTTCCTTTAAATGACATTGCTATTGACTTATATCATAGACGTTCAGTACCTCATGAAGTAAGAAGAGAAATGTTTGACATAACAAATGCAAACGTTGGTGAAACAAGAAGAAGAGACGACACACTGAAACAACAGAGAAGAGAGATGTTTAAAACTGCTATAGAACAAGTTCGCAAAGCTAACGATGTCATTCGTTCCATTGACGACAAACCAAAAGAAGGTGAGAGATGGTTAAAGAAAGATGAAGAGAATAGGAAGAGGAATGTTAAGACAGGCAATAGACTCATTGACTTTAACATCGAAGCTTTAGATGAACCAAACAGAGACTACTTACACAAACATTTCGGTAAGGTTTTCATGAGACTCTTAGAGAAGATTAAAATAAACTCCCAACAAAGATGGATGGTATGTTATAAACTTGGTGGAAAGTATGAATGTTCTACGTTAAACCTCAATAATATTGGAACATTACTACATCAGCTCTTGAAGGAGAACTTTATATCAGAGATAGAAGCAAATGCTGCAGGTATTGTTGAAATGCACTATGACTTCTTCTTGACAAACATAAAGAATCTTACCGAAATAAAGATGTATGATTTAACAGAATATGAAGGCTTAACGATGTCAGATGTAAAGAAAGGCAAACCAAAAAAGAGACCATATAGAGATGAAAGCACACTGACAAATGACCAGAAAGCCATTTTGGAAGCTCTTAAGCAAACAGGAAACCCAGCACTTATAGAAAGCTTTTGGAAAGATAATGGTGAAAAGAAGTTTTATAAGAAGAGAAGCGGTCAGTTCTGGAAGTATCTTTGCACATTACCTATAAATCTTGAACGCTACCAAATCTTCAATGAACTGAACAAAAGAACTGCAACACTTATGACAGAAGATAATTGTTTCGTTTATGCTTGCATTCAAGCTGGAGTAGATGAAGAAACTATTGACCACATGAGAGAAGTCATTCGTGTTAGAGACTTTCCCAAAGTAAAGTACAAGAAATTTCTGACGCAACAGGTATAGCATTTAATGTTACCATTGGTTATTTCAATGACTCAAGACATAATGAAATAAAGAGATACATACCAAAAGAATGTGAAACTGTTCGAACTATTGACTTACTTCTTGTTGAAGACCACTACATGCTAAATGAAAGATTACCAATGACAACATATTTCATCAGAACTTACAAGAAATTTCAAAGCTGTGGTGGAATGAACATTGAGAAACAAATGAAGATTTATACAAAAAGAGAAGATAAATACATAGTTCGTTATGATAGAACAACACCGTTATGGGATGTTATGAAAACATTGTGGGAGTGCAAATATTTCGAACCTATTTCTTATGGAGAACTTTTCACATATACGACTGACTTATATAAACAGAACCTTGCACGATTTAAAGATTTGACATATGCTCCAAAGTATTGTGTACAACTGAAGAAGAAAGCCGAGTCAAAAGAAGTAAATAAAAATAAGTGCAAGTTCATTCCTGAGCACGTTTTCTTTGCTGACTTTGAGTGCAGTACTGATGGCTTTCATAAAGCTTTTAACATCTGTTATGACAGTGAAGATGGTTCAGTGAGTGAAAGCATATGGGGTCAGAACTGTGCAACAGAATTTTTGGAGCGACTTCCTGACAAGAGTTTAATATATTTCCATAACCTCAGTTATGACATAAACTTCATCTTAAGACACATGACAGAAGTGAAAGGAACTCCCATCATTAAAGGTTCACGAACAATGCAAATAACTGGCTTATATAAAGGTAAAGCAATCATTATTAAAGATTCATACACTGTTATAAATAAGAAGCTTAAACTATTTCCTGCTATGTTTCATTTGCAGTGCGGTGAAAAGGAAGTATTTCCATACAACTACTACAGCAGTGTTTTGTTAGCAAATGACAACAGAACTGGTGTCATTTCTGAAGCGTGTAAGTTTGTAAAAGATATTGATACGTTCATGAAAAACATAGATTTAATCGAAAACTGCAGAATAGATGAGAACCACTTCGATTTAGAAAAGTATAGTACATTCTATTGCAAACAAGATGTAAGAATTTTAAGAGAAGGTTTTGTTAAGTTCCGCAATGATATATTGAAAGAGTTTGATTTAAACGTTTATGATTACGTTAGCATTTGTTCAATTGCTAACAAATTATTTGAGAACAGAGTGTACTTCCCGAATGGAAATTTATATGACCTCTCAAATAAACCAAGAGAATTTATTTCGAGATGCATTCAAGGTGGAAGATGTATGCTGTCAGATAACATGAAACAAAAGAGCGAAAAGAAACTCATTGCTGATTTCGACGCTGTTTCATTATATCCATCAGCTATAGCAAGACTTTATACTTTAGAAGGTATTCCAAAGGTTATGAAGAAAGAAATGTTAAGCACAGAGTATCTCATGAGACATTTATTCGATGACGACCAAAAGGAACCCATTGGTGAAAAGTTTATGTCTGGCTTCTTTGTTCTCATTAAGATAACAGAGATTGGAATACATAGACACTTTCCTTTAATAGTTTGTGACCCTGAACTAAATCCAGAACTTAACGTTCCCAGAAGTTCAAACACTTGCTGTTTAATGTATGTTGACCATATAACATTACAAGACCTCATAAAATATCAAGGTGTCAAATGTGAAGTGTTGCAAGGATACTATTACGATGGAAACAGAGATATTAGAATAAGAGATGAAGTAAAGAAGTTGTTTGAGTTAAGGTTAAAGTATAAGAAAGAAGGAAATCCTTTGCAAGAAAATATAAAGCTCATTCTGAACAGTATTTATGGCAAAACTATTCTATCTCCTATTGAGTCAAAAATAACCATAGTAAATGACAAAGATGCTATAAGATATGCCATCAGAAACTACAACCATATAGTGAAGTTCGAAGGTTTGGATGGTTCAGATAAAACTATTTTCAAGCTAACGAAAAGCATTTGCAGACACTTTAACTTCTGTCCACTTGGTGTTAACATTCTGTCTATGTCGAAGAGAATAATGTGTGAAGTATTCTGTACTGCTGAAGATATGGGTCTTCAAATATTTTACCAGGACTGCGATAGCATGCATATTTTCAATGAAGACATACCAAAGCTTGCAGCAGAGTTTAAGAAGAGATACGGTCGCGAACTTATAGGAAAGAACCTTGGTCAATTTCATTCTGACTTCGCAGAAATAACACCTGGAAAACAAAGTTTAGCATACAAGTCAATATTTTGTGGAAAGAAGACTTACATAGACTTACTCACGAATGATTTAAATGAAGTTGCATTCCATGCACGTTGTAAAGGTGTAAAACAAGACGTCCTTGCTTTAACCGCTAATGAAATGTTTCCTGAAGCTATACAATGCTATTACAATGAAGATAAGAACATTCACATACCTGTTGGAACATATGACAAAGACTCTGAGTTCAGTTTAATGAAACTTTACAAAGCACTTTGATGGTCAAGAGATTGGATTTGACTTATGTAAGTCTTCTAGTCCTTGCTTTGCTGAAAAGCTTAACTTCTCAATAACGACTAAAACAAGCTTTATTCGTAAGTTGAAGTTCTGAGGTCATTTATTTTTGTCAGCAATGAGGTCATTCATGATAAAAATAAGCCGCTAGCGGCAAGGGCGAAGCCCATGTGGTCATTTACAATACTGCGATGGTAGAGTTTAAGAGTTGTGCTTCAATATAGAGACAGTCCTTATGGTCTGGAGGTAAGAACACTGGGCAGTTATGGTCATGAGTGGAGAACATGTCTATCCAAAACTCACGATTGAAGCCAGTTAATTTATAGTATTTAGGGTTAGGAAGTGGTGAAGTTCTTGTATGACCAATGAACTCATTTTCAACTCCCTTACTTAAGTTTGAATATAATATAGCTTGCTTTCTATCCCAAATGCCAGGTGTTACAATCTTTGAAAATTCATTTTTCCTCGGAAGCATTGCATCATCATTGAAAACATTCTTGAAATCATCACTTGGTTCAGAGATTTGAAATCTTATACGTAATGGATTTTCTTTCTTTTTAGCTACTTCATTGAATGGTGAGAATACAATGAATTGACAGTCATGAGTTCCATCTTCATTTTCATTAAATTCATAATGAAAGTCTATAAGTTGTGGCTGACTACCTTCTTCTTTCAGTTGTGCAAGAAACTCACGTAAAGGCTGTAAAGTTTGTACTTCAATGTTAAACTTTTTCTCGAACACCTCATTAAATGAAATCATACATTGTAGCAATGTTGTATCGTCTTTAAAGTATTTGTATATGTGAATGTTTTGGGCGCTTAAAGACTGTTCGTCATTTTCTATCTCGACTTGAAGTATAAAGTCAACCTTTCTGAAAGCACGTGTTATATACATATTTGTTATGCCAATGTACTTCTCTTCATTTATGTTCACAATCCAGTCTGTTGGAAACTTAAACGTTACTCTGTTCCCCTTTATTTTGACGTCAGGGTTTTCACTACTGAACGCAACAGATAAAGGTATTTGTCTATACATTTAGTTCCGATAAAAATAAACCATTTACTCTTTCTTTGCTTCAGCTTCTTTAGCTTTTGCTTCAGCTTCTCTAGCTTTTTTTGCCAGTAGTCTTGGGTTCTTTTGTCTTCCAGCAGCTAATGCAGCAAGTTGTTTTTCACTAAGTTTTCTCTTTGGTCTCTCTGGCTTTTGTTCTTGTTTTTGTTCCTTCAGTTCGGATAAAATTTGCTCACGAATTTCTTTCTTCAATGCTTCAACATCTATGACCCCTTGGGTCTTGTCCGTAGGGCTTGTCTGAGTCATTTGACTGCAGATAAAAAACAAAATTAAAACTTTAACCGATGTAAAATGAGCTTGTCAAAATCAGAGCGAGAGTCTATTATATTAAATGACGCAAGAGGAATACAACATCCTTTCTATTACGTAAGTCAGAGTAAAGATGGTAAAATATACGTAAGAAAAAGAAGGTTCCATTAGCGAATGCAGAAAGCGACAGTATTAAGGTGCATGGCACCGAGGGCGAAGCCCATGTTAAGCCTTCTATTCAAACTGAAAAGTCAATAGAACCAGAAGAAAAAGAAGCCAGATGTACTTTCAATAACGAACCAAGAGCTTATTGCAAAGTTCGTGAATTTCATTGAAAAAACAAACCGAGTCAAAGAATCCTGACCCGCCAGTGAAAGAAGTTGAGACAAAAGAGAATGTACAGTTCATTGAAAATGTCAAGAAACAACTTCCACCACGAATGCCAAGAAGAAGAGTGAGAATAATGAAGTAAATAGATATTTTTATCTGAAGTAAATACATGCAGAACGAACAGTTAAACGAATTTACTCCAGCAGAGCATATTCATCAGATTCGCTCATATTTCGATATCATAGACAATGCAGTTCAAATTGGTGACACTAATAGAAAATGTTCTGACGCAAAGATTCCATCACAACTGGAACTGCTAAAGATAACACATGGGTAACATTCAATCTCTCACCTCCTGGTGAAAAATATGTTGGACCTTTACAATACATTCATTACGTATAAAATGGAAGGTCAATTTATTGTAGATAAAGAAATTGGTTCAGGTTCCAATAAAACAAACCCACCAGGATTTTGGATTGGTTTCGATGACGCTTTCTATGCAGTTGCTGGATATCAAATCCTTGCAAATGGTCGTATCGTATATTCTCAAGACAACGCAAGAGAAGAAGCATATATAACTTCAAACTCACAAACTACCGAACAAATAAAGAAAGTAGATGTTTTCTCAAAGACTCGACATGAAGATGTATGGAGTCATTCGGGAACATGCAGAACAGGACAAATTGTTAGTGGTCCAATTACAGCAGGAAAATCATTTGATTTTAAGCTTCGTTTAAGAATTCCTGTTAGAAGATTCCTTCCATTAGAAGCTATTCGATTTATTCCAGCTTTTGCAGGAAACATTCAGCTTAAAGTAAAGTTCAGTAGCGACGCCTTACAATGCACATCTATATCTGTAAATGATATCATTGCTTTCAATCCAACTCTTTAAAGTTGCATTTGCTTCAGATTCAAATCCACCGACAAATAAATTTGTTCCATGGAATGAACCATTCACTATGATAACGAAGGCAGTAGAAGCTAGTGGAACAGTTACTATTACAACTGTAACCCAGCAACTATTTCGAACAAAGATGGATTTTAATGAATGTTTCATTCATCCAAAGTCATTCTCTTTAGACCCTAACATTTATACAGAACTTGTAGAACATTATACAAACGAGGCTTTATGTTTTCCTGTTAAAGTTATGGATTGGATTCCTATGGACGGTTCGTTCTCAAAGAATACAGATAGTTCAAGTGCAACATTTACAGCAGCTTATACGCCTATTAATGTTAAAAGTATTTGGGCACTATTTAGAAAGAAAGACAACTATTATGTTAATTTTGAGAACCCTAAGTTTAAATATCTTCAGCTTTCCATGGGAGCTTATGGAAATATGCCTGCAGAACCTGAAAAATCATATGGACCTGTATTTTATGAAATGGTTGCGAACGCTTGCAATACAAACAATGATATGATAGGATTTAATGAAGATGTTATGAGGTCATGTGGGATGATGGTAGTGTGGAACATAAATGGGATAGCTATGACAACACACATTTCTTATGTGGTTTTCCAACAGAAGTGGACTTTTGCTTCCAGCAAGGTCAAACATCTACTGCTCCAATAACATACAAATGTCTGTTAAAGGACCTATTGAACTAGCAACTGAAATGTACCAAAGCCACTTATTGGATTTATGAGGGATTGTTGCTTTGCCATTCAGGTGCGTGCTAATGGAATCCAATAATAAGATTAGATGACTATAACTTAGCTACGGACGACAGTGAGGAATAAAGGATGAACGTTTATTTTTAAAGCTTATAAATGAGTTCTTCATCAAGCTCTCGTGAACCTTCACCATCTATGAAACAAACTTTACCAAACGATTATGGAGCACCTATTGAATATTTCTTACGAGCTGCACAATGGCAAAGAGCAGTCTCACCAAGGTTAGGTGTTCCACCAGCTCCTGTCAAAAATAGCATTTGGTCAAGTCCTTATATAAGATATGGTCTCCCACTAGGTTTGCTAGCTACAACAGGAGCAGTTATGATGTTGAAAAGAAATAAAGCAAATGTTGTAAATAATACTGAAGTAGCTGAAGTTAAACAAACTCCAACACCTTCACAAGCAAAACCTTCAATGACTCCTGAACCTATGGAAGTACAAACTCCTGTTCAAAAGTCAACTCCTAAACCGACTCCAACATTTAAACCAGAACCTACTCCTCAAATAAATCGTAAAACTCCTGCGTTTCCTTACTGAAAAAATAACGTTATTTTTATTTAATATTAAAATTTTTATTTAATTAAAATGACGACTAAAGTCACTGAAGCAATGAAACAAAAGTTTTTGGTAGAATACATTAAATCAGGAACTATTCCAGAAGGTTTTACATTCATACTATGAAGGATGGTAGAGTTCAGTTTAGAAAGATAAAGCAACCATTAGATAAAGAAGGAATTTTGAGAAAGATTAAACTTCATGAGGACAACATTGCTGAACTTAAGAAGAAGTTAGAAGAGTTGGAGAAAGGAAGAGAGTTATAAAGCAATGAATTCAACAGGGT